TATAATTTTAGTCTTATCAACCGATTGTATTCTGCAATTTCAGATTAATTAATCGATTTTTTATAACTTCATGATGTAGCAGTTTGGTTTAATTATTGACTTAATTATTTGGATTTTGCTAGAGTTGATTGTTTTACATAATTTTAATCTCTTAAGCGATACATAACGGACAGATTTTTATTTATAAACGGCGTATTATTTCTAATAACAAAAAATTAATACCGTAATCTTAAAAGGTATTTGGTTTAATTTCGATTTCAATCAGGCAACATGATAAATATCTAAGTATTTACAGGCAACTACACATAATGATGCAATTCAGTGTTATATTATTACAACAGTAATCTATTTATGCATGAAAAAAAAATAAATTAATATAAAAGTTTAAGTCCATTTGTGCTTATTTGTTTTAGGTGAAATAATTTATAGTAATATAAAGTAAGGCTGTGTTTTTACTTCACTATATTTATTTCCATTTTGTATTGTCTAAGTTTCGGGATAGCTTGCCATTTACAAGCCATTTTTTTTCTTAATCATGCTTCTTCTATATAATCCACATTTGGGTTAAAGTCATATGTGTTTATATATATAGAGAGAATAGAAATAAATGTGGTGAAGTAAAAACACAGCCAAACTTTATATTAAAAGTTTAACGTTTTATTGAAGTTGACATATTATTGTGCACGAAACTTTGAGTACAGTTGTTCAAGATGTGTTGCAATTTAAAATACGAATATTCTGCTTTCCTACTCTAAAATTATGATATTCGTTGCGATTCAGCATTTTTAGTCCAGATTAGTTTTCGTTAAAAATAATTATTTCTTTCTGTTTTTTTTTTGTTTTATACATTCTTATCAACTTCTCTTCTTTCATCTTGGACTAATAACTAGATTATGTGTAATATATAACGATATAACGCGATGTATACCTTTTTTTTTTTTTTAATTAAAAACATTCTTTCTCTTTTGTGATTTTTTTTTCTCTTCAATAGCGATATTATTTGTATTTCCCCGCATTTTAAAAATAGTGTAATTTTCTTATAGTTTTCATTATTACATCCTTTCTATCAGCTATGTAATCTAAGAACAGTACCTCCAAAATCCCGGTAAGATCCGTTCTATTGACTTTCATGAACCCGTGTGTCCAATTTCCGTACCCATTTCCCATATCATTAGGAGTTGCAAGTCAGTTGTGACTCTCCCACAAGGGCCCACTATGCCCTCCTTATGCCTATGCATAGACACAATAAACTTATTTATTAACAATAGGAGAAAGCAGATTAAGACATACAAGACAAGCACGTGGTTCGAGTGTTATTGTATTCTAATAAACTCGTTACTTTCCATTAATAGGTGGTCTGTAGAATGACTGAAGATCTGGCATCTAACCAAACCTATCATCTTGAAACGACTTCATTTGTCTGTTTGGGTCTGACGGTGCATATTTAGTGCGTTATAAACTAAAGGCCTAATTGGCCTTTGGATATATACTTTAATATATGGTCTCTTTTCTTAGAAATACTTTGAAACAGACCATAATGAAATCATATCTGCCGAAATTTGTCAAATAACCAAGCCATCTGCAAAATACAATTATAAGAATAATGCATTTTTATTTATATCTACTTATATTTTATATCAAATGATTCCCGTGGACCTTTTTCAAAGAGCTACTAAGAGATGTAACAAAATAATAAATTTTTTAATAAATGAGAATGGGAGTGCTGATTCCCGAGGCAATGGTTATGCATCGTCAAGCCCAATATACTTTGAATGTAAAATCCATGTAAAATGTAAATATAAAATCCAAATCCAAACAAATATAGACTATGTCCTATTCTTAATTATATATGCATTTTAAAATTAAATGGGCTTCAAACATGTAAGAGCGGAAAAATTAAAGTAAAGTAAAACGCGAATTTTAAACAAAATGAACACAAGGAATCTAAAATTTAACTATTTATTGTTGATATTATTTTGAAAATATATGTGTATATATGTATATAAAAAAAAAAAATATATATATATATATATATATATATATATATATATACGTGAGTGTGTGTGTGTCTGTTAAACTTAAAGTTAGTTCGGTAATATAACATTTACAAAAACGGAAATAATTACACATAATTTTAAACAAATAGTAAACACATAAAATTTTAAAAAATAAATTAAATAATATATTTGAAGTTAGGGTAAGAGTAAAATAAATCTTCTGTATACAATATTGGCATTCATCCAGAGAATTTCAAGTCAATTTTTATCATCAACATGTAGAAGGAAAATCAGCATTCCATGAGATCTCAGTACTTCTTTCCCAACCGCGTCATTGGTGTTGGAAGTTAAATGATACCGGATGACACCAGAGGCACAGACGCTCAGTTTTTTTTTTTTTTTTACTTAATAGTATTTGTTTAAAAAGCTTCCAATAAAAATATATTTTTATTCTTTCATAAAAAATATATTTATTTTTATATTTAGTGATTCATGACAAGTAAATATGTACAAATAATGATCTGATTTTTATTTTTTTTTTATTAAATGATTGATAAAAAATAATAATTATGATCATAACTGCCCATTAAGTGAGTTCGGTAACGTAAACATTCCATGCATTGCTTAAAACAAATTGCTCTATCTGGATCATAATTAAAGCTTATAATGATAATAAAATTGAAGCATAATTATTTTTATATTTAACGATAGCAAATGAATACCGCAAAAAAGGTAGAAGGTATATTCTAACGAGGGACCTAGATGAAGTAGAGCAGTAAAAAATAACATTACTTTTCGGCGGCCCAAAACTGGAAACTCATTAGACCAACCACTTCAGCGAGTCAACACCGGAGGAGTGTGATTATTTCTCTTTTAAAAAAATGGAGAATGAAAAATCATAAAAACAGTATTTCCTGCTTCCCCATCTCGTAATTGATGAATTATTTTTATTTTAGTATATTCTGCCTAGTATCTTATGAAAGAACTATATTAATAGCAATACCGCATAAAATTACATGATTTTTTCTCTATACTTTGCTGACTCTATAGATATCTGCCTAGAAAATGATGGCTGTGTTTCTTCACACACACATGCACACATACGTTTATTATACTATTATATATATATATATATATATATATATATATATATATATATATATATATATATATAATAGTATATAGTATATCAGCGTATCCCTCGGACATACTTAAATACATTTTCTGGTTTATTATATACACCTGACAATGAGCAGTTAAAAGTAAATTCAGAAGACGTTCAATCACACACAAGTCATTCATGTATCTCTCCGTGCATTATTATCTATGAACCGAATTATGTTCATAGATAATAATACAACGCCGAAGAATTGTATTACTCATTGGTAGAATAAACGTGAAAGTAGGAAGTTGGTAACGTTTTCAAACCATTACGATCTTTCATTTCTTATTTCCTAATTGATAATGAGTAATCGTCTTCGTATAATCGTAATTATAATTAGTTAACTCCATTGATTGACGGTGAGATAAAGATATATCTGCAGATCTTCACGGACACCGCTCACATGCCTTCAGGTTTCTACTCTCTCATAATTACTACTACGAGATACACTATGTGCTGTATCGCGGTATAGATAACTGTACCGATCAATAAGAAGTCTAATTTCGATGAAGTGATACTGTTGTATTTTTACAAATGGACAAATACCTGAACTAATTATTCGGTTCGAGGAAGTTGGATGCGTCTCCCTCATTTTGCTATTTCAATATTGAAACAATTCTACTCCGTCAAATTCGAGAATATAAATATTTACTATAGCCTAAGTAGTGAGTGCCAAGAAACATTAAGGTGTTTTTGGTTCCAATTATTATGCCCACTGATAAGTTTTCAGCTTCGTGTCATCCACACTACTTTAACACTGGTCGTCTACCAGAACTGCGGGTGTCCGAATACCAATCCGGCCGTGTTCGGATTCACCAAATGTAAACACATTTCATTACGTTCAGAGAAATACGATTTCAATGATTCCTTTTCATTTTGTAGGTGATTTAGAAACCTCAACTCAAATTATTTTATGCATTGAAACACTTACTAGACAAACGCTCTAAATTTTCAATTAATAATAAAAGACTTATCTAGATAACTATAATAAGAACACACGGAGTTGAGCTTTGGGGCTCCACCAAACCATCGAATTCCTATTGTATCAAATCCTTACAATCCAAACTCCTTCGTAAAATCCTCAATGCTCTCTACTTTGTTACAAATAAAACCATTCATAATGTACCATTTGTCAGATATCTATCCTTTCATGATAAACTTCAGTCCCATCCGAATCCACTTGTTTCCATCCTTGCTTCTTCCTTGATTCCTGATAATCCGCCTAGGCGTCTGAAAAGGAGATGATCTCGTGATCTTCTTACCTAGAATTATTTAGGGTGTGCTATCACTGGATAGTATCTCTTCAAGCTTGTTTATGTCATTATTTCTTACTTACTTACTTATTACCGGTGTTCCAACGCGGGATACCTCTTCTGCTCAGAGCACAGCTCCTCATTATTTCTAATTTGTAAATATTTACTGGTTGTATTTGTATACAGTTGTAAATTTCATTAAATAAACAAAACAAAAAAACAATTCATTGACAAATTTACTTAATACTGATATGATAATAAGTAATAGTTCCACTGGCCAGGCTAATAGAAAAGTTATATTTTTCCTATTCTGAGTGGCTGAAATAACGGATCTTCTAATTCGTAAAACCTTAATTTAAAAATTATTATCTATTACTTTTGTAATATCGTATCAAGAGAGAGAGAGAGAGAGAGAGAGAGCGAGAGAGTGTGAGAGAGACGTTCAAGGAATTTCATTTAACTAATGAACATTATCATACGGCATATGGTCTAACCACCGTCCCCTTGACATTACCGTTGGATTTTACTGTATATAACTTTTGAGTAATAATTTGACGTAGGCATAAATCTGAATTTAAATGAGTGTTGATGGAAACGGGAGTCGATGGTTTAATGGCCTCGGTTTACGAGCGCAGGGATAAGGACGCTGTTAAATGTTTAGCTTTTGCGGTAAGTGAATATGCACCACTGGCCCAGATAGCCAACTCAGAGCGTGAGAAAGTCGTCTTTCATTGCCGATATTGGAGAAATGTGGAGCTCCTACGTCGCCGTTTATCGACTAGATTGTGCTGACGATAAAGTGGGTCCGCGAATGGGAAGAAATGTCCACGTTTATATGTATAGGATATCAATGACGTCGGAATCCGTAATATCGAATTTTATTTTGTTTTCTTGTTGATAACGATGTAAGTTTTCCCTTCTCCTAAACATTGATCACCACTTTTGTATAACCTTATCAAGGAAGCCTCCTTAGCTCACTTTCACTACTCAATATTCCTGACTCGGCAGTGCCTTTCGGAGTGGTAAATAGGTAATTCCACTTAATAGAGGTATGAATGAATTTCTTCTTTTTAGAAACTCCAATATTTTTTTTTTTAAATCCTTGTTAAGTGATGCTTTATTTTATATTTAATATTTTGTAGAATTGTTCACTTCGGACACTTACAGGGCACAAAAAAAAAATCCCCCGAAATTCAAAGTTTTACGTTTCAATACATGTAGGAAAATAAAATAAATTTATCTCTCATGAAATTCGAAGTTTTACGTTTCAAGACACCTAGGAACTTAAAAATCTAATACAATTAACTGGCTTCCGCCGTCCGCGACTACTGAGCAGATTGTTTTAAGATTTGGTCTCAATGTGGAAATTACCATCCGACATTTCGTTTGTAAATGACAGTCAAAACACTTCTGTTGCTGTAGACTTCAGTGCTAAAACGGCTGTAACGATTATAATAAAGCTTGCCTAAAGTAATCTCCGTGAAGCCGTCTAAATCTATATGCAAAACATACTTCCTCGAAAAGAAAATTATGGTAAATGGAAAATTTTATTTGCGAATAACACTAAAGTTATACTTCATAAGATATTCGTAAGGTGTACTTTTTCATTAATTACATCTATGTTGATTTGAAAGTGATCGAAATCGCCAAAAAAAAATCATTGAAATCGGACAGTTGAGAGATTTAACATACATAAAACCAGATATGGGCAAATGCTATCCAGAGTACTCAGTATCAAGTATTTTATTCAAACACTGGCCTGTTTTAAGTACCAAAGAATTCGATTACTACTTCAGTTGATGTCGAATGTTTAACTTAGCATGATGATTAATCATCAGAATTTGCCCATCTCTGTTTATAACGGATATCTCATGTTTAACTTCTAGATGCCTGATCTTGTTTGTTTTGGTTGTTGTGCTGGAAAGATTACTACTTTACATTAACTGAAGAAAATGAGATAATTGCCTGACAGTAATTTTTAAAAATGATAACATGAGATGTATATTCAAAACATAGAATCATTGCTTTAGCGGGTAGCTGGTAAACGTTTTAAAAACATTATTGGTATAGTTTTGGATTTTCTCGCGCTTCAAGATTTTTTATATGGCTTCAAGATTGCTAGGCTATGCTTATTTTTTATAACATTGATTTCCTTAATGACTTCGTTTGTTGACTTTTATTGTTTTTCTTAAATAGTTCCTTTACTGTATTTACTGCACGGCTTTTTTATGAATACCTATTTCTTATTTTATACACTAAAAAAATGTTTACTAAGATCTATTTCTAGGAGTTATATCGTAACAAATACTATCCCCTCATCAAGTAATTGAACTAATTAGCAGTAGCCAAACTGTTGGTTATGGGCAGATCGGAGGCCCGACGTGCGAATGGTTCCGTTGAGAACGCCTCCCGTTAAATCGGGCGGATCCGCTTTCTGATCTAGGACGTTCTGGTTTGATGGTAGCGTCAGGGTCCGTGGAACGCCGGCTCTTTCATTCTCACACTCCTTCCTCTAGGCCTCAATTGCGGTCCTTGTTTTCAAATTCACGTCTCGCTTTCTAACGATAACCAAAGCAGATCTGCTTCCTTCCGTCTTTCCGAATCGGAAATTAGTATTCATGAATGCCAGAAAAGGTGCCTGAACTTGTTTTATGCTCCATAAACGCTCTTCCTAAAGATTCATCTTTTCTTTTTTTTTTTTTTACCAATTTACGTTTTTCCTCTTTCGACTTTATGAAAAATTAATTATTGCTAGACTTATACAAATGATATAGATGAAATATAACACACATTTTCGATACCCATTACTCATCCATTTCTAACCTTTTAAGCAGAATTCTCTCGTAGTTCTGTTCTGTTTATTTCTACCAAGGAGGACACAAGTCCGCCTCCACCGTTCAGTAATAATAATTCCATAATATTTCGTCAAAAATTGTTACTCAATAGAATTAAACATCGTCAATTTATATGTAATGCCATTTCTAAATAGATAGATAAATATTTGTTAAGATAATTATACAAATATTGGAGTAAAATATTTGTTTACTTTAAAGTGTCTGGTCGCTTTTAATTTAATATTCTCCTTTAGAGTGTCAACCAGTCGATTTGCATTATAAAAAACAATCTCATTGAAATGACCGATTTGAAAGGTTAAAAATCGCTACTATATTCCCTCCCGGATAGCTGAATTTAATAAATTTTTAGAGAAGGAAATTATTAGAAATCAAAGAGGTATGGTTACTTTTGTCAGCTACGTTCCCATTGAAAGCTTAAATATCTTTGTTCTCATTTTGTTTTTGTTTTTTTATATCATTTTTATTTGTTGACTAAATACGTAGATATTTTCACATATGGTTTATTTGCTCTTGAATTATTTAATACTTAAAATAAATATACATATAATACTTATAATAAAATTTCGGAGAATAATAAAATGATGAAAGTCTTGGAAAAAATATTTATACATATATATATATATATATATATATATATATATATATATATATATATATATTCGGTTCTTAAAAGTAAGCACATAACTCTAATCGATTTAGTTGTAACAGGACAAGGTCCTGTGCGACATTTTACACGTGATGCGCAGGAGTCGAGAGATTACCTATGCCGCTCTTTTTCTGCATGCTGATATTTTTTTTATTTATTTTGTTTTTTTTTTATTTCACTGAGAGCATTAACCGTAAGATTGAAAATCAACCTATTACGTAGTTTACGTTAGAAAAAATGACTACCTATGGATTTTTGATCGTCTTACTGTATGGATCCTGTGGTAACCTACTTGTCTTTTTGTTCTTATTTTAAGTACTCTTGTATACTTTATCAATGAACTCGGTGTATAAATGAAATTGTTTCGCCACAGTATATGATTTCAGTGATGCTTTAGGTCTGTGGACTGGTCTTTATGATTTACCTTATCCCCTTGGTATTCCAAAGCCATTTTCGAAAACATTCGTAATTATTATTTGAACGAAGGAGGAAATGCACCATTTACGAAACTGTCCTTTGTTGATTGCCGACTGAGAGTACTTTCTCCTTTATTAATAGCCCTCGGTGGGGTACGATCGGTTTGGCAAAACTTAAACCGTTTTCACTTCTTCTGAACGCCTAGAGGATCACGCTCCCCGACCGACTCGGAAATTGGGAGGAGCCGCAGCTTTCGAAAGCGCCCACAACTTTCCTATAGAAAACTATCATTATCTCCCAAACCGCCGGATACTGTCTAGTGCCTAAATTTATATTCCTCCGAGAACTACTGCTTTTATACGGATTGTTGGTTTATGTTTGGTTGCAATGTTGGTGGTACATCTAGCTCTGAAATTACTCAACAGAACAAGTTTTATCTTTATGTAACGCGGTATAAATGGAACAATCCTCCTGTAAATTACAAACAATTGTTTTTGTTTGTACTTGTTATAGCCATGCAATCGCCACATTATAGATCGGGTTTTAACTACCTGTAATTAGAAAAGATGGCTAGCAAAAAGTTTTCTGATTAATACGAGCTAGAACGTTTTGAAGAACTTTAAAATGGCTTCACAATATCGGAATAATATTCCTCACGGCCGGAACTAGAATTTGACTTACCATAAAATGTAGCTTGCGATTTCCTGCCTCTAAATGTTAGTGTCCACCTCCTCTTAATTCTGGCTCTTATAATGCTTATAATTATACAGTCACAAACAAACAATTGAAGGGCTAGGGCTAGGCGAAAAGACATTTTATGCTTAAAAAAATTAAATTCAGGCCTAATAGAAATTTATTAATTTCTTTTTCGTTGTTCTTTTAGATTGATTCATTCAAATTTAACCTCCAAAAACTCTATCCAAACGACTTAAGGGAGAAACCTATAGTTAGCATATGTCTATCAATAACTTTTTGTTATTAAAATAACGATCTACTTACGGATTCATGCAATTTATCTATTTATAAAAACAGTTAAAAATGTCAAAAACAAAAAAATTCGATAAAGTATGTTTCTCAATTTATACAATTATATGAACTTTTTCGGGAATGGGTGTTATATATTCCTTTGAGCTTTTAATTTTTTTTTTTCATTTGTCTTATTTTATTTTATTTAACAAGTTTTGTATTATTATATTTTAGTTATAACTTTTTTCTCCCCGCCTCCCGCTCTATTACGTCTAATCAGCTGTTCAATATGACCTTCTTTTTGCTTCAATATGTATTTGGATGACTTTGTGAGATGCCTACTGCAATATTTTTTTTTTTTTTTGTTATTTCAAAATATATGTGATCTTGCTTTTTCTTCCCTGAATTTGAGAAACGTTGGCAAGTTAGCTGTTCACTTGTATATTGGAGACTCATGGCTTTGTTGTTTGGATTTTTCCATTTATAACAAATGTTTCTGAAGTTACATAGAATATGGGAGTGCATGCTCTACATTATTTTAAAGAAAAACTGAAGCCGAGAATTGGCTAGTTGACCAAGCCCCTGACGGCTTGGTCACACATGATCTTATATAGTCAATCATCCTTCTTTTTTTTATCTTAAAAATCGTTTGTTTAATTCCTTTTCATTAGCATAAACTGCCAGCCTAAGCTCCTCCAAAGAGATCTCTTTTATGTTGTTATACATATTCTACTGCAAGAAAAGTTGAATAAGGTTCAATGTTAAAAGGAATATGTTTTATTCATAAAGTCTACCTATCTTCTTTCATAAGGTTGGTGAAAAACTCATTCGGTAGAAAAAAGTACGACAGATCATAATAACTTTTTTTTAGATCTTTATAATTTGAAGTTGTACAGGAATAAACTTTA